CTCTACCACTGAGCCACACCCCAGCCCCTCAGTGGGGGATTCTAGGCAGGTGCTCCACCACTGAGCCACACCCCAGCCCCTCACTGGGGGATCCTAGGCAGGTACTCTACCACTGAGCCACACCCCAGCCCCCCACTGGGGGACTCTAGGCAGGGGCTCTACCTCTAAAATAAAGCCCCAGTCCTTAACTACCAAATAAGAGAGTTAACTGGGGCTATTGTGGATTCTGCAACCCTTTGTAGCAGCCTTAAGGCAACATTTTGCCCTTCAGGTATTCTCTATGAGCTAAAATCCCTGCAGAGACCAATGTAAATCAAGCAATTCATCTCTGACAACACACTGCATTTCTTAAATTGCCCTCAAGGACAATGGAGCATAGTAATCGCCTCCTGCTTTTGGATGAAGTAGCCCTTTCCTGCATCATATGGGCACTTTGCCAATGCCAGGAAACCCAACAGGCTACTGGAGCTCATTTATGGCTATAAAACCACAACTACCAGAGGTCTGCATGGTGATACCTGGCAGCCTGGGTGGCCAAGAAACACAGGACTGGATCCGAGCTATTCACGCCTTTGATTATGTCTTCCAGCGTGTAGCTGGCCTGCAAGGAAAAAACAGTCAGGTCAGTCATTCAGCCTCCATCAAAGGAAAGCACAGGGTCAGTGAGAAAGCTCAGAGGGTAAGGCACTCGCTGCCAAGTCTGATGATGACCTGAGTTCGGTACCCAGGATGTACTAGGTGGAGAAAACAGACTCTCACCGATTGTCCTGACATCTGTGTGTGCACATGGCTATACACACACACACACACACACACACACACACACAAAGAGAGAGAGAGAGAGAGAGAGAGAGAGAGAGAGAGAGGGAGGGAGGGAGGGAGGGAGGGGGAGAAAGTAAATAAATGCAACAAACAAATTGCAATCATAATAAAAATAAAAAGGAAAGCATAAGCATCACCTAGCTTAGTCATTCACCTGACTTGAACAGACATTCATGGTGCATCCGCATCTATACTAAGGCAGGGAAGAATATTTGCTGGTCTATAGGTAACAGGTCAAAGTAGGACACTCTCCATGCTTAGGACAGAGTGATCCTGGTACACTCAATATCTTTCTAAAAAAGTGTGTGTGTGTGTGTGTGTGTGTGTGTGTGTGTGTGTGTGTGTGTGTGTGTGTACAGGCATGCATGCATGTGCCCACATAATAGCAGATGCCCACAGAGGCTAGATGTGTCTGAGCCCCCAAAGGTGAAATTACTGATGCCTGTAAGCTGCCTGACATGGGTACTGGGAACCAAACTTGGGTCTTCTGTAAAGTCAGCAAGTACTCTTAACTTTTGTGCATTTCTTCACCCACCGAGCACTTTTTCTAAAAATCATATTTGTATGTGTGCAGAAGAGGTTATTTTGATGTTATGTTGTGGGGAGGAGATGGCTGACAGCACGTATGTCTGTGTACCCTGTGTACCATGCACAGTGCTGTAGAGGCCAAAGGGAGCGTTGAATCCTCCAGGGTCTGGAGTTACAGATGCTTATGAACCTCCACGTGGGTGATGGGATTAAGCCTGGGTCCTCTGAGTAAACAGCCAGTGCTCTTAACCACTGAGCCACACAGTCCAGCCCCTCACTGGGGGATTCTAGGCAGGTGCTCTACCACTGAGCCACACCCCAGCCCCTCACTTGGGGATTCTAGGCAGGTGCTCTACCCCTGAGTCACACCCCAGCCCCTCACTGGGGATTCTAGGCAGATGCTCCACCACTGAGCCACACCCCAGCCCCTCACTGGGGGATTCTAGGCAGGTGATCTACCACTGAATCACACCCCAGTCCCTCACTGGGGGATTCTAGGCAGGTGCTCTACCACTGAGCCACACCCCAGCCCCTCACTGGGGGA